CTCAGCTCAAATTTAAAATGAATTTCAAAAAGTTGAAATTTGTATTAAAGTAGCTTATGTGTGAATGTGTCAAACATAAAAATTTAGAATTACAAGCGGTTGATTTGAAATATTGATTTCAAATAAGAATCAAAGACCATGTTATTCAAAATCAATGCATTGTGATGAGATTTGAGTGTTTTACAAGTTTAGTTTATACTTCTTAAATGTAGACAGTCTGAGTACACGTCGCTTAAACAACTTAAATTAGACTATTCCGACGCGCCTACTTATGCTACATTTGATTTATGCATGGAATTAGCTTGGTTGATTATTGAAAGATAAATATGTGTTTTAGTCTTCTAAATGTGCAAATGATTACATCAAGGTCAATGACTTGCGGCTTCGTTTGAGAATGTGTGCTTGGATGCCAATGACAAGCATGTTAATGATCTACAATGCAGGTTTTGCATTGTTTTTGACCGCAAGGAAAAGTTGGACGAGAAGCGCAAGTCTTCAACCGACGTAGAAAAATGATGCCGCCTTTTTCGCTACAGCAATATTAAAAATCACATTGACAATCAACATACTATGAAATAAATTATGTACAACCATCTTGATTTGGCTAATAATCAAAACGCCTTGTTTTACTCGATGTCTAGATAGTGTTCAAAAACTTTTTTAAGACTCACTTTTACATCTTCATCTTTTGATTCGAAGTGTGAAATTGTGTTGAACATCAAAATCAATATCGTGCATGTGATTGTTGGCAACATGATGTTTGATCCAGCTAATGTTGGCAACAATTTGGATAGTGATTAGAAAGAATACTCATTTGAAATTGAGTCTAAGTGCAATTTTTTGACGTGTTCAAAAGTCAACATTGGCAGAAGAGTATATGCTATCATTATTTCAGCGCTTGAATCAGCAAAAACATGACAATTTTAGTGCTATGCATAAAGATGTTTCAAATCATTTTATGTCATCATGAATATATTAATTATAATATTAATATATAATCAATAGATTATATATTATTGTTATAGATTCGGCAAGCGTCTAGTTACTCAATTTGCGCTTTTGAATACTTTTGACAACCTTTTATAACATTATTAATCTGCATATAGCGACATTTTCAATGTTCAATCAACACATCAGCAATATCATGTTTCAAATGATTTTATTAGGTTATTGAAAATATCTTGCTTTGATTGGAAATTTGTCTACTCGGCTTGATTTTTGATAAAACCCGCAACATGACTAGTGAAATTGATAGTGTTGTCACTTGCATAATCAATGCAATACACAACGAATGTACTTTAGTTTTAGTTTGATATGGGGCAAATTAAATAGATTTCATTATGTAGCACATCATGGACAAAATTATGAAAAAACTCTTCATTATTCTCATGACCAAATTCAAAATCCACTTGGTGCGACAACAAAATCTAGTTGCAAATATGTAAACAATGTGCCTTTGAGTTGTCAATTGCTGACTAACTACAAAAAAATCATTAAGTTGTTCAAGATTCATCAGGCTTCGTTGCTTGTTCATATAGCTTTAGCTCCACCTTGTCTATGATGATTGTCTCTTCTTGCTATGCATCACTTCAACTCAAAAATAACAATTACGTTTTGTTAATTCATGAATTGACGACGTCATTGAATCAATCACAAGTTACGTTGGATTATCTTGTCGCTTCATTCATTGAAGATATTGGCATTATTTGGCTACTTACTCCTGACGTGATTGCAAATCTTGACGCATCAAGTCACGTTGTTAATGATCGTTATGTTGTTTCATTGTTTTTTATTTGAGAGTTTGTCAATGGCATGGCTTTTTGGGCTTTATAGAATTGTTGATGAAGTAGATCAAATTCAGCAAAGCAAACTTTGAAACGGAATTGCTTCTCTTTATGTCACCATTGGCGATTAAATTAGCAAAATATCCCCCTTTTGCAATGTAGATGATAACATGTAAATCAATCTTCAACTATCTGCTTTTCCATCTATGCTACCGCATGAGCTCATCAAAATATCAACTGTCGAGTTTATTTGCAAGTTTTGTCAAAATAACTACTTACTATAGCACCATTATTTGATTGAGAATATTGTGTTATCGTCGACAAGCATAAGTACTACTACTACATCCTCAAGCATAACATCGATGAGTTGTTTATTTGATCAATCTTCAAGTATCGTTGGATTTTAATTGGATGCAAATTTTTAAACCTCATGAAGTTCTGTGGCTCATATGTTATGCAATGAAATAATAACAACTTTTGCAAACATCTATCAATTTTTTTTATTAAAATACGTGCGGTAATCAAAACGGTGGATGTTTATTGAACAATGATTTGCATTCTTAATGTTTAATAAAGCTCATATTTACATACCGCCTAAACTAAACAAATGTCTATTAGTGCAATTAATTTAAACTAATTTAGACATCTATTAGATAAAGCAAGCATGGTTGTATTTAATTAAGCTAACTGTTGAGTTTCAAAATTAATCAATTATATTAAAATAAATTTATAATATTTCAAAGCTCAAAAAATAAAAATATACTTCATTTTTTTTGAGAAATAACACAATATGATGTGTATATATATATATATAATCATCTTGAAAAGATATATAAAAATAGTATTTGTATAAGGTTGATGTGAGATTAAGTAAAGATATTTGATTTCAATATTTATAATTATAAGCATACGCAATTTATAAAACATATCAATAAAATATATCAATGCATCTCATGAATATGATTATCGTTTAGAGTAAAATTTTGTATAACATTTATATTTTAAAGATTGTTCTTAAAAATTTAGATGTGATTTATTCATATCACATTAGCAAAATAATGGTAATATATTTACATAAATAAAGTATTGATTGATAGTGATAAGTATCTAGATATATAGATAAAATCAAAGAAGACACAAAACATTTGCTTACATATTCTAATATTAAATTTATAATTAATATTAACTGATTTATCAAGTTACAAATGAAAAAGTATGTTAACAAGTAATAATGTATACTTCATCAATTCCAATTGTGTATATATGCACAATATGTACTAATACATATGTATTTTGTACATGAATTTGAATTATGTTTTATGATCTGTTAATTTAAAACTAAGTTTGAAATTTGAAAATGATCAATTATGTTAAAGTAAATGTAATATATTTCAAAGCTCTAAAATTAAGAATTAATAGAATTTTTCATTCAAAGATGGAACTTAAATCATAAAATGGCGAATACAAAAAATGATTATACATTACTATATATAAATCTTACTAAGAGATAAGATTACAATTATAGTGGAATAATGAGACGGCAGATAATACTGAAAAATACACAAACTTCTAACGTGTTATTTTCAAATAACACGCTAACTATAATATTCAATCTTTACTTGACAAACACACAAATTGATGGCGTGTTGTTGTCAATTAACACACATGTATATGTTCGTTGAAGTGACGATTATAGATAATTAATCTTGAATAATTTTTGTTTAGATCTAAATAACTAAAAATAACAAAAACTAAATAATCCAACATAAAGATCATGTACTTTGAAATTGTTACACAATATGATCTAGATTGTATATATGAAATATGATAATGACCAAAGATATATGAGCAGTATTTGTATGAGGTTGATGTGATATAATGTTTTAGTATAAACATTTGATTCCCATACTTATAATTAAAAAACATATAAATTTTATAAAACAAAATCAATAGAATACATCAATGACTTTTTTGAATATGATGATCATTTAGAGTAAAATATTGTATAACATTCATATCTAGGAGATTATTCTAAGAAATTCAGATGTGATTTATGCATATCACAGTAGATAAAATGGTCAAAATATGTTTACATAGATAAAGTAATGATTGATTATGATAGGTATCCAGATGTGTATATAGAGGTAAGGAAGAAATTTGTAATATTTACTAAATGACTCACCAAGTTACAAATGAAAAAAGAAGTTAAGAAGTAACAATTTATCTTTAATAGCCCCAACCATTTAGTATAGAACAATAAATTATTAGTTTACTTTTCAAATAGTTTAAACTCAAAGTTCCACAAGATAGGAAAGTCAAATATTGAATCCACTCATGAAAGTATAACATAGGGTTTAGGGTTTATGTGCACCCAATCACGAGAAGACAATTACAAATCAGTTCAAAGAGAATGTATACGTCGATTTTTACCTATCAACTATATATAGGCATTAATGTACATGGACGCTTCCATATGCAACCTTCCTCCATCACTATAACTGCGCCTTGAAAACTTGTTACGGCAGTTTATTATGAAACGCCAATATTAGACAACGGACAACGATCCGAAGAATGAGAAATCATTCAACGCTTCAACTGAATGTCATCCGATCTGATCTCGTAAGGTGTAAGCAAACCGATCTATATAGTACAAACGGAACAACCCCCAGAGAAAAGAAAAAGCGAGGATGGGGAGTAATGAGAGAAAGTGGGAGACATAGTAAAGGGGCTGAGAAACAAAGGCCCTGAAGGCAATCATTATGCAAAGAACCGCAACATAATTACAAAACAACCGGAGGCGAAGCTCACATGGGAGAAAACCGAGCCCCCATAGTTTAAAGCCAGAAACCAAATGGCCTTCGAACACCAGCCAGCCTTGGAGCAGCAGCAGCAGCAGACCGACTGCAGGCAGTACAGCCCTGTCCCCTTTGGGGTCCAAGTGTCCGGCCGCTGTCTGATGATTAAGCACCAGACCCGTCCATCCACAGCGCCCGGTTCCATGTCCCCAGACACATCACGACGCATCCGCACCCTGTCAGCTGCCAAGCGCCAGAGACTGGTACGGGAGCGCGCAGACCCAACTTTTGCCCAAAGGTAGCGAGCGAGGGAGGGCAGCGAGCTACTGGACGGTGACAGGTCAGAGGAGGCCAGGCCAGGCCAGGCGAAGGGCTGCTTGATCCGGTAAGAGCAGTCGACCGAGACGAGCGCGAATGACCTAAACCCCTCCTTCCGTCTTTTCCCGGCCTGAGAGTCCAGAGTACGAGCTGGAGTCAGTGCTGGTCACTCTCTTCCCTCTCTCTTCCTCTCCCTTTTCTCCTTCCTTCCTCGTTCGAACTGGACGCAAGAAGAATCGACATTCCCTGGATCCAATTCGACTCACGTCGCGGTCTGTCAGTGGGAGCGGGTGGGGGCCTTCTGGATTACGATTGTGCTGTGGGTGCGGAGCGCAAGGAGGGGAGAGGAGAGGAGAGGAGAGGAGAGGTGCGGTGCTGTGCGGTGGGGTGCGGAGCTGGCTGCTCGGTGCGGTGGAATACGAGGAGTGGAAGAGAATAGTGGGAGTCGAAGGGTGGGGGGTCTGATTTTCTCGGGTGGAGTTTGAGAGAGAGGCAGGAGTAGGGGAAAATTGATTTGGGAAGGAGGTGAGAAGTAGGAGTAGAAGGAGAAGGAGGAGTTGGGTGTTTGTGTATGGGTACGGATTCGGCCATGGGGGGAGAGGAGCCTTCGGCGTCGGCGGCAGCGAAGAAGTATGTGCCGTATGTGTTGAAGCATACTCTGCAGGGTCACAGGAAGGCAATTTCGAGTGTGAAGTTCTCGCCGGATGGGAAGTGGTTGGGCAGCTCTTCTGCCGACAAGAGTGTGAGAATATGGCATGCTTCGAATGGCAGGTTTGAAAAGTCGTTGGAAGGCCACAGTGAGGGAATTTCAGATTTCGCCTGGTCTTCTGACTCGAGGTATATTTGCACTGCGTCTGACGACAAAACTCTGCGAATTTGGGATGTTCCCAGTGGAGATTGTGTCAAGACTCTGAAAGGACACACCAATTTTGTGTTCTGCGTCAATTTTAATCCTCAATCGAATCTTATTGTCTCTGGTTCATTTGATGAGACTGTAAGGCTTTGGGATGTCAAAACTGGGAAGTGTTTGAAGACTCTTCCTGCACATTCTGACCCGGTGACCGCAGTACATTTCAACAGAGATGGCACCCTAATTGTTTCTAGCAGCTACGACGGGCTCTGTCGGATATGGGACACCGCAACTGGTCATTGCTTGAAGACTCTTATCGATGACGAAAATCCACCAGTATCTTTTGTTAAATTTTCCCCTAATGGGAAGTTCATCTTGGCTGGCACTCTCGACAACACTCTGGTAAGCTGTGTGGATTTGTTCCCCTCTCTTCATATGAGACTTGAACCCTTTTCTTGTCCGTCTAGGAATAATTTGACTAGGAATAATTTGAATGCCTGTTTACATGAACTTACTCGGGTCATCATTGCAGACATGAAATTTGTGCTGACAGTATCTGAATTTGTTTTGACAGAGGTTATGGAACTATTCCACCGGAAAGTTTCTGAAGACATACAATGGGCACACCAATCAAAAGTTTTGCATATTTTCCACTTTTTCGGTCACGAATGGGAAATACATCGTCAGCGGTTCAGAGGATTGTTGCATTTATGTATGGGACCTGCAAGCAAGAAATATCATTCAGAAACTAGAAGGACATACAGATACTGTGCTCTCGGTTTCATGTCATCCCACTGAAAACAAGATAGCCTCTGGCTCCTTAGATAACGATAAGACTGTTAGAATTTGGGTACAAGGCTAGACTGTGGCCTTGTGCGTTTATCAAGAAGTTTTGAACCGTATAGATTCTGGTTTTCAGCCAAGTTTTGCTCCAGGGATGTATGGCCCCTACATGCAAAGGCTGCATGACCGGATTTGTGGGTTACTGCCCTGTACATTCTGTACAATTTTACTGGGTTTTGAAACCATTTTAAATGAAAGGACAAATTGAGCATCCCGCGTAGTCTCTGACGATTTTGTATGAGCTTGGTTGTGTAATTGGTTGTCCTGAGTTCTTTCCCCATAGAAAGCAGCTGCCATTTATGTATATAGTGCTCTGTTTTGGAAACAGGATGAAGATCACTGCCCAATTTCGCTCCATCCTTCACTGGTAGTTCTGGATAATGGCTCCTAGATCGTACGTGTTGTTGGCAGGGTTAGGTGTCCGTTGAGGCATGTAAATGTTTCAAACGGTCATGCAGATTTGGATGATCGAATTTTTTTTTGAGTCGCATTTGTATTCACCAACTGCTTCAACCGCAAGTTCTGTGATATACTCTGGAGGTGGTACCTACCGCCACTACATTTGAAGGGAGCCGAGGATTCGTGTCAAGTAGATACTGTGACTCATGGATCCAGTTACCGCTGTCAGATCAGAAACCATGCACGACGCAACGTTAAGGTGGCTGGCCGAAGGAGAACTGCCATTAGTCAGAAACGATTACGGTAACTTTTGCTTCGAAAAAGCTACTGCCGTTCGAAACGTCTGAGAGCGTTGCGTCAACTTCGCACTGTTTTGATCGACGCCAGACAATGGATGAAATCACGTATTGGCTCCCCAACCTTAAACCAGCTCTTGGCCTCTGATTAGCATCAGCTCAGATAATATTGTTCAGACCACAACATTGGATCTTCCAAATGCCCTGCTGGGTTCCGATAATGGGCAGTGAAAGTTGAAGTGGTTAAACCTTCACTGCACTTTGAGGATCGAATGCTTTCTTTACGCCTCCCAGGGCACGCATGAACGAACTAGGTGGTATACGGTAATGGATATTTCAGTTATCCACTCCCCGCTTGAATTCATCGGCCACCATGCAAAGCTTTTCTCCATCAACGTGAAATTGAGATTTGTGATTTACAACTGTTGAATCACTTCAAAAACATATCTTGATTAGATTTGTTTAATCTTCTCTCCTGGTATAATTTACAAGTATGGAATCGTGGACATACTAAGGTGTCACTGAGATGTTCAAGAGATAATGAACTGCTTTTCAAATATGGATCTCAGGTTTGCATACACTGTCAAGGAAGATGGGCTTGAGTTGCTTGTGAGGATAACAATGTCACTGAAGTTCATTCGTTGCTCCGAGGAAAATTCCTGAAGCCACAGGTGACTCACGTGAATCTATTCGTGTCGTGACGGAAATCTGTAAGATCTCAGGTCGAGGGGTTCAGGAAGCAGGAGTCTGAAGTTCATTCGTTGCTCCGAGCAAAATTACTGAAGCCACAGGTGACTCACGTGAATCTATTCGTGTCGTGACGGAAATCTGTAAGATCTCAGTTCGAGGGGTTCAGGAAGCAGGAGTCTGAAGTTCATTCGTTGCTCCGAGCAAAATTACTGAAGCCACAGGTGACTCACGTGAATCTATTCGTGTCGTGACGGAAATCTGTAAGATCTCAGTTCGAGGGGTTCAGGAAGCAGGAGTCTGAAGTTCATTCGTTGCTCCGAGCAAAATTACTGAAGCCACAAGTGACTCACGTGAATCTATTCGTGTCGTGACGGAAATCTGTAAGATCTCAGTTCGAGGGGTTCAGGAAGCAGGAGTCTGAAGTTCATTCGTTGCTCCGAGCAAAATTACTGTATCCACAGGTGACTCACGTGAATCTATTCGTGTCGTGACGGAAATCTGTAAGATCTCAGGTCGAGGGGTTAAGGAAGCAGGAGTCTGAAGTTCATTCGTTGCTCCGAGGAAAATTCCTGAAGCCACAGGTGACTCACGTAAATCTATTCGTGTCGTGACGAAATCTGTAAGATCTCAGGTCGAGGGGTTAAGGAAGCAGGAGTCTGAAGTTCATTCGTTGCTCCCAGGAAAAAAACTGTATCCACAGGTGACTCACGTGAATCTATTCGTGTCGTGACGGAAATCTGTAAGATCTCAGGTCGAGGGTGGAGGAAGCAGGAGTCTGAAGTTCATTCGTTGCTCCGAGGAAAATTCCTGAAGCCACAGGTGACTCACGTGAATCTATTCGTGTCGTGACGGAAATCTGTAAGATCTCAGTTCGAGGGGTTCAGGAAGCAGGAGTCTGAAGTTCATTCGTTGCTCCGAGGAAAAAAACTGTATCCACAGGTGACTCACGTGAATCTATTCGTGTCGTGACGGAAATCTGTAAGATCTCAGGTCGAGGGGTTAAGGAAGCAGGAGTCTGAAGTTCATTCGTTGCTCCGAGCAAAATTACCGAAGCCTCAGGTGAATATCCAGATGAAGACAGAGAAGAAGACGCCCAAACCCAAACCCTCAATTTTATCGAGGGTTTGGGCTAGTATTAAGTTTTTTTCTTGTGGTTCTTCATCAGCAAAAATTGCTGACGAAGAACCACAGACTAGCAGCAGAGTAATACCTGAGTGGCGATGGGATTATAAAGACGAATATATTCCCTTTGAAGACATAGAGTTCAGTTAATAGATATTTAAATTAGAATGGGTTGAAGAAAAGTCATATAGTATGTATTTTAGAATAAATCCAGTTATAAGATTTTCGTGTGAAAATTATATTTTTCACATGCAGAACATCTGGATCCAGAAGAAAAGTCATTTTCTGGATTTATTTTAGAATAAATCCAGTTATAAGACTTTCGTGTGAAAATTATATTTTTCACATGCAGAACATCTGGATCCAGAAGAAAAATCATTTTCTGGATTAATACTAGTTACAACTAAAAAGCTATCTTTTTGTTCCTTTTTTAATTTTTTCAATAAATAACTGATATTTTTGCTCAAAGTTTTTTAAGTCATTGTGCTGGAGAGCGGGTGATACCGGCTCCCCTAAACCCTTGCCCTCTAGTCCTGACGTTTTTGTTCACTAACATATTACACAATCTGGTTGATTGTGTAACATGTTATGGTAGAGAAACTCCTGATATGTTTAAACAACTGTGGTTGATTGTGTAACATATTATGGTAGAGAAACTCCTGATCTGTTTTAACAACTATAGTAATGCTTTGTTGTAGTTTAGAGGGTTGACAGGTTCTTAATGTTCCTCCCTGCGGGAAATTAGCAGAAATTGCATTAGAACCTCGTTTTAATCACCCACTTTACCATCTGATCCTTGCTGTAACCTTTAGGGAGACCTTACATTTTACTATAATTGTACCTCGTCAAAATTTTGTAGATATTTCTCATCCAACCAGCTACATGCGATTTTAGAAAAACTCAGCAAGCTTTGTCTATCGAAAGAAATATTTGTCAATCTCAAAATTGAAACGGCTCGGAAGCAGTAAATAAATGAATAGAAACAAGTTTGTGATACAGAAATGGTATTAGTAATAGAAATAGAAATAGCTTTCCGGTAGTACAAACTATTTTTCTGCTATGGGTGAATGTATCTGCTGATACTGAAAATGTCCAAGAGGGAAAGACTCAACACCTCAAGTGACAAGGTTAGAGAGTGGTGTACACAGGTTGAGAAATGATTCGAAGTCAGGAGCAGCAGGTCGATTCTTATAAGTAGGAACAGTTAGAGAGCTTTTAAATGGGTTCTGCATTCTTATCAATGAGCGAAGTCAAGCGTCAAGGAATGATCATCTAATTCTCCAAGTTACTAGTAATAATCAACGTTAGGTTAGCCTTTTTTTTCTTATCAAGTTCATAAAATAGCAACATATGAAAGGTATGTTATGAGCCTTTCATATGTTGCTGTGAGACTAAATGTATAATCTCAATGGGTTTTAACTATAACTTTGTACACTACCAACTGTGTGTTACATACAGGGATTATAATCTGTGCCTTGGTCCCCTTGATGGAATACATATTCGATGTCAATTGAAAGTGTGTATATCAATCGTTGTACCATAAAATTTATATCTGGAGATGCCCGTCACAATCCATCTTCTTTGGATGGTGTTTTCAGTAAGAGTATTTATCCCTCTTATTCATGTTAAATACTACGCTAAATACGGACGTAGAGTTCTTGACATACCATTTTCTCATAGCTTCGAAAGTGTAAGTGAGTATCTTCACTTAGCTACGCTCACTATTGTTTTTGTTGGGTGTGTTCGGCTGAGTGTCATATCTTATATTTCGATAATTTGGAATCGTTGTGCAAAATGTTTGGATTCCCGAAGGCTGAGAATGTAGCTATGACGCTAACTTGCAATTAGCGAGAATGTAGCCATGAAGTTTTCACTCTATAGAATATACTCACAGCAACCACTGTGGAATGCACAGTGGTTGCTGTGGTTATGTAACATCGTCACCACACCATGGTCTTATTTTGTAATTTCATGGTCACCATTAAAGTTACAAAGGTCCTGGAGGACATATTTTTGCTAGATTTGCAGGAATACATTTATTGCCTGCTTTGCTTTTCAGGAACTATGGCACAAACTCCTTTCTGACCAGATCGCATCTTCAGATGGAAACTTACAATTGGTACGATCGGATTAAGAGTATTTAAAAGTGACATTGATGCCTAAAGATCTGAGTATCCCATATTCTGAAGATGCTTGGACATGGTTTGAATGCTGTAAATAAGTTGAGCAACCTTATTAGGCAATGAGACATCAGGAACTCAAAGAGACAAAGGATGGCTTCAGCTTAGTCGTTATTTGTGTAAAAATGAGTTATTATATCAAATTCTGAGAGATGAGGAATACAAAGAGGTTCTTATTTTTCATGTTTTATTCTCAAGATCCTTTCCCATCATGGTTTTCTCTAGTTATGAGATAATTGGATTTGATTATCAACTACCAATCTCAAGATGAAGTTAGGGTAGATATGTGACTTGCTTCTTCTTGTTCAGAAAATATTTGAATGAACTCAAATGTCTTACTTTCTCCTACCGAAATTTCATCTTCTCACTGTGGCGCGCATAGCGGGCCATAGTGAGATAAAACATTCCCTTGAGCCTGGGTAATATGAGTTTGTATATGATACAGTAGTTCCCTGAGAGTAACAATGTATCAAAGCGAGTCTGGTAAGTGCTGATATTCCCATACGCGAGCAGCACAAACTGCTTCTCACGGTATTGTTATGGTTGATATTAACTTCAATCACTTCTTTTTTTAACGTAGTTTCTAGTAAGATCTTGTAGTTTGAAACCACATCTGGTTTCTGGCTTATGGAACAGTAGTTTCTTACGCAATATAATTGATATTTGTAACACTTTGGAATACCTAACATGTAAACAACCTGATAAGGCCATACTTTCATGTGCCCTATATGGAAGGAGTTCCTCAGTTGTCCCTAACCACCTTCAAACATGACAGTTGACCTATAAAATTATAAAATCCTCGTCTTACAGAAGTGAGAATCAGCAAATAGTCCGGAGAACTTTACCATGCTTGACTCTATGGTCATTTATTTTTGCTTGACTCTATGCTCATTTGTGCTTGACTCTATGGTCATTTATTAACTTATCTGAGCAGGATTAGGGCCTACTCGAATGTATGGACACCAACGAAAAAGTTTTCTTTTTACGAACAGGGACGCCATGAGTTTACAAAAGCAAATAGAAATATGAAAATCATTAGATTAGTTTGCAATAAACATACTCGTCCTACACGAGTCGTCTACTAGTCGTTGAAAGATTTATCTTTCTGTCATTGAGATTGAGTTCAATGAGAAACAGGTAATTACCCGTTTCTCTTCTAATTAACCGGTTGACCGAATGTCATATCCCAGCCATCCAGTATGTCGGATCCTTCGTACTTTGCTTCGTTCTAGCCGCATACAAACCCTCTTCGCCTTGTTTGTATTTAACGGGAACTAGTCAAGTGCTCCCTTTCTTCTGCGTTTGGCATGTTGCGTAAAATCCATTAATTAGCATACAACTTGTGCTCTGTTGACAGCTGCCCCAAGGCGTGCATGTAAATCTCACAGCACGCCTTGGGGTTCAAGGGATCCTCACAAGCATCCCTAGAATCAACAGGTTTGGAAAGTCATAAATTCCCTCGTCGTCAAAATTACCGCTTCATGACACAAACAGAAATAAGAACGCCTTGTTACTTTAGTTAATCGTTATTCCTCAAGTCCTCAACATACTCCGACACATGGGATCTCCACCTGAAATGCTATTCCGGATCGTGGAGAGGATCCAGATGTTCAATGGGACTCGACATCTCACACTTGTATTATAGTTCACTAGGGAGTCAGACACTCCTGTCCGATGCCCAAGTAAAACATGAACATTGCGAAAGATTTACGACTTTCTACGTGGGAATATTTCCCGAAAGATCTCTAGTATTATCCCGACTTGACGTGCTCATGCTATAAACTACAAGACCGCATACCTAACTCAGTTATAATCGAAAGAACACTACAGTAATCTGGCCAGCTTGATAGAAAGAACGCGAAAGAAACCATCCACAGTGCAAATTATTCCGAGAATCAACTTATACACAGCTAAAACTTTGTCCATTCCACATCACTTATCTTTGGATGACGGGAAATTTACCCAACCATCCAGTCAACTACACTGCGCATCTCATACACCCATCAACTATGTCTGCTCGCCATAGAGCAGTCCTCTGTATCAGAGCTCTACAATTATGCACAATATTGGCAAAATTGGATTGCCCCTTTAGAACTAGATTGCTTCTAGATGTCCTTGACTTGGTTTCTTACAAAATGTCAAAACACATCAGATCAACCCCTGGGTACAAACTATTGACAACAAGATTTGCAACATGTCCATGTCGACCCGGTGAAGTTCCAGTTAGCAGGCATATTCCTCACAGGCAAGGTCCGAACAGGCTTGCATGCAAGGCTCGGAGGAGCTATGAACCTTGAGGATTGTTGTACACTTGGAAATAAGTAATCAATCTCTTGATCTCATACAAAACAGCCATTTTGCAGAGTTCTACAGGATTAACTCCACCTCCTAATACAAACTCTGCATCAATGTGGCAAGAGTTTGTGCAGTCCTTGGCAGTAGTTGCCAATGTATTTCAGAAACACCAACACAGGTTTGATCAGCCCCATCATTATAAGCTAGTGTCTTCCGATTCACTATCTTTGGACCCAAAGGTACAAAAGACTAAGACTGCGGGTATATCTACCATAAGGGTAGATATACCACCCTCGCTTAGGATCATGCAGGAGATGAATTCTCCTTACGTTGTCGTCTCATCAATCCATTTAGATAGAATATGAACTCCGATGTTGTCAGATGGGATATCAAAAGACTGGAAGTGCTTGGTCCAAGAACGGCTCCACCTTGCTCACCTCTTCCGCCGTTTAGATTCAGGCTGCACAAGAGACAAAATAAATAGAAACTCAGCCCTCAAATCTGGCTGAACATTGATGCTTCATGGGAGTACACAAACGGACCATTTCAAACAGGTGACTCGGAATCAAGATACTCATATTCACTATCTCAAAGCGATAAGCAAAGTTCAGAACAAAAAAGCTCCATTCCAGCAAAAAATAGGTGCATCGTTTTTTCTAGGGTCAATAACGTTTATGAAACAAGAACAATCAAAGCACATAACAAATGGACACTAGTCGTATTGCAATCTGGAGTACAGATCCCACGTTTACACAATTTGACCAAACTACATCAAGTGACTCCATTTCGCTTTCCAGCAACTAGTCCATGCATGCTTTTTTTCAGGTGAACTTAGATGAGAAAAGAATGATCACGGAACATAATAAGCATTCCCAATTCTAACGCCTCACGCGAGAATTTATTCATGCGTGAGGCGTTAGAATTGGTATTGCTTTGTCCATAAAGTGATATTCCCGTAAGTGCAGATTTCATTAAATCTATCTTTCCAAATTCATTATTTGTGGACACAATGCGATGTTCAGATCCACGCACAAAGAAGAGAATCATTGATGTTCCTCAAAAGGAACATTTATCAGGATACTGTAGTGACACTCACTCTTGCATGTGCTATCCATCAAGACCCTTTTGAACATTTTTCCTCCCTTAGAAGTTCGGATTAGATGGAATTGATAAAGAGACCAAGAAGACACACGTAAGGAGTTTTGAGGTATTTTCTGAGGTTCTCTGAATTGGCAGAAGATAAAAAGGGATTGCAAGAAAATGATGAATGCAACTTTTGCACCCATGACTGCGAGTATTGTGTGTTGAATAGAATTCATCAGTTGCTGTAGCGCTTTTCGCACATTATGTTGATAAAGAAAGAGGCATCATCTCATCGATAGAACTGAGTGTATCAATGGAGCAATGTACCATGATACATATGTCTGTAACTCGGTACCATGAATTATCAAAAAATACAGCAAAATATGAGACCACAGTTGTCCACGCAACGTGGAATCAGGCGTGATGAAGCTAATATGTCTGGTTGGCAAGATGAGCCGAGCAATGTGCATGAAATGCAGGATGGCATCTGTCAAACTTGATGCGGGATGCTTTTGATGGTACAGAAGGAGACTGCTCAGTCTACAAGGTCCTCAATCAGGCAATCAGGCCAACAAACCACATGAGCCGCGTGTGTGAAGAGCAACTTGTGGAGACAAAGTGGCATACTGCAAACTCAACCCATCAAGCTGGACTAAATGGGTTGAATTGCAGAGAAGGCTAAGATGAACCAAGAAGATTCACGGAAGGGTAGTGAGTTGATTGCATTCAAGTTTCTACGAAACCCAAATGTCCTCAATTTAGAGATACAGCAAACAGTGTTGCTGCAGCTGCAAGAGGAGCAGCAAAACATGATGCATACCTTTAGTTCATGCTGTGGGGACGATTTATGCGTGTTGCGCGATTTCTTGTCACCTTGACCAAGTTGGGAGGAGCAATCAGGACAATAAAACTGTTCCATCTTTTTTACCTGCTCTGCAGTAAAATTCATACATGTGGGGTGGAACCTGCAGAAGAGAAATATATGAATTAGCAATCCGTATCTGAAAGCATACCTTAGCTTCAGGGTGGGTTGACTTAAATGATGCATTCCCCCTTTTGTGGTTGTCAGGAGAACAGCCTGCACAGAAGTATTTGTCCAGGTTGGTTACCTGCTCTGTGCTCAGTTCCACACAGTAGGAGTGAAACCTGCATTCGCAAAACATTTAAGCTTATCAGCATTATTTATTTGTCTACATAAAAGTGTTAAGGCCCTTGGAATTAAGGAACTGGGAAGTTCGAGCCGGCCGCCACATGCTCTGTGAACCAGTTTGCAGCACAATGACAGCCTCATAGGCTTTCCAAATGAGGGATGTATTACTACGGGCAACTGTGAAAATAAGAAGACCTCTGAATCTAGATTACTTAAGTATGAACCTAGGAAAATGAGATATGAATTCCTCGTTTCTCTCCGAATAGGGCAGTGAATACCACTGCTATATGCCAGCAATATGGCGATAGCGAAGTTCTTTAGATCTGTCAAAACTCACCTCTCAGCAGAATAGTTCTATGCTACATCCGGGAACTACTCTGGTATCAGTATGGGAAACCAGAATCAAGGCAACCCTTCTGTACATTTCAATTGCTAACGATCACGCTAAGTCACTCTTGGATCCAGGAAAAGAAAATAAGACATGACCTCAATAGCCAGGCTAGGATGTGTGTAAATAATCAATCAGGAGATCGTCATTAATACAACATCGTGCTCCCAAGCAGTGTCGGGCTTACGCAGAACTCTGGAAGATATTTCCCTTGTTCCATTTGAGGTTTAACAACTACAAAACATCGTCAGAATCTACGACGAATCTAACGTATCGCGTGGTTGCATTCTCAACCTCAATATACTGCGTCCTGAGAAATCTAGACTACATGGTAGATTTCTCATTGCAGTTGTTTATCAAGGAACTCAAGTTGAATGTACGCCTCCATATAGTCTAACCCAACATTGCATGTGATGTATATTTCAGTTGATGGATTTCCCACATGAATGAATTTCTTCATGTAGATAATTATCTTCCCTAGCATATGTACATGTATTTTCAGTGATAGACTCATAAAATTTTTTTTGGCCTCGGCTCTTACATCAAATAATTCCCATGCTCAAGGATAATACGAAGAACTTAACTCAATGAATTCGGAATTCAGGTTTCGTGTAACAAGTGCGCGTGAAAACTTAGGGTTTATAAAAACGAACAATGAGTGGAGTAATTGTAGCAGCGGAACAGGGGTGTCCAGACGGTACAGTGCAGGGAGGAACTAAGAGCAATAAAAAACTTTGGTAAAGTTCACCGGACTATTTGCTGCTTCTCACTTCTGTAAGACGAGGATTTTATAATTTTATAGGTCAACTGTCATGTTTGAAGGTGGTTAGGGACAACTGAGGAACTCCTTCCATATAGGGCTCATGAAAGTATGGCCTTATCAGGTTGTTTACATGTTAGGTATTCCAAAGTGTTACAAATATCAATTATATTGCGTAAGAAACTATTGTTCCATAAGCCAGAAACCAGATGTGGTTTCAAACTACAAGATCTTACTATAAACTACGTTAGAAAAGAAGTGATTGAAGTTAATATCAACCATAACAATACCGTGACAAGCAGTTTGTGCTGCTCGTGTATGGGAATATCAGCACTTACCAGACTCGCTGTCATACATTGTTGCTCTCAGGGAACTACTGTATCATATACAAACTCATATTACCAAGGCTCAAGGGAATGTTTTATCTCACTGTGGCCCGCTATGAGGGCCACAGTGAGAAGATGAAATTTCGGTAGGAGAAAGTAAGACATTTGAGTTCATTCAAATATTTTCTGAACAAGAAGAAGCAAGTCACATATCTACCCTAACTTCATCTTGAGATTGGTAGTTGATAATCAAATCCAATTATCTCATAACTAGAGAAAACCATGATGGGAAAGGATCTTGAGAATAAAATATGAAAAGTAAGAACCTCTTTGTATTTCTTATCTCTCAGAATTTGATATAATAACTCATTTTTACACAAATAACGACTAAGCTGAAGCCATCCTTTGTCTCTTTGAGTTCCTGATGTCTCATTGCCTAATAAGGTTGCTCTACTTATTTACAGCATTCAAACCATGTCCAAGCACCTTCAGAATATGGGATACTCAGATCTTTAGGCATCAATGTCACTTTTAAATACTCTTAATCCGATCGTACCAATTGTAAGTTTCCATCTGAAGATGCGATCTGGTCAGAAAGGAGTTTGTGCCATAGTTCCTGAAAAGCAAAGCAGGCAATAAGTGTATTCCTGCAAATCTAGCAAAAATATGTCCTCCAGGACCTTTGTAACTTTAATGGTGACCATAAAATTACAAAATAAGACCATGGTGTGGTGACGATGTTACATAACCACAGCAACCACTGTGCATTCCACAGTGGTTGCTGTGAGTATATTCTATAGAGTGAAAACTTCATGGCTACATTCTCGCTAATTGCAAGTTAGCGTCATAGCTACATTCTCAGCCTTCGGGAATCCAAACATTTTGCACAACGATTCCAAATTATCGAAATATAAGATATGACACTCAGCCGAACACACCAACAAAAACAATAGTGAGCGTAGCTAAGTGAAGATACTCACTTACACTTTCGAAGCTATGAGAAAATGGTATGTCAAGAACTCTACGTCCGTATTTAGCGTAGTATTTAACATGAATAAGAGGGATAAATACTCTTACTGAAAACACCATCCAAAGAAGATGGATTGTGACGGGCATCTCCAGATATAAATTTATGGTACAACGATTGATATACACACTTTCAATTGACATCGAATATGTATTCCATCAAGGGGACCTAGGCATAGATTATAATCCCTATATGTAACACACAGTTGGTAGTGTACAAAGTTATAATTAAAACCCATTGAGATTATACATTTAGTCTCACAGCAACATATGAAAGGCTCATAACATACCTTTCATATGTTGCTATTTTATGAACTTGATAAGAAAAAAAAGGCTAACCTAACGTTGATTATTACTAGTAACTTGGAGAATTAGATGATCATTCCTTGACGCTTGACTTCGCTCATTGATAAGAATGCAGAACCCATTTAAAAACTCTCTAACTGTTCCTACTTATAAGAATCGACCTGCTGCTCCTGACTTCGAATCATTTCTCAACCTGTGTACACCACTCTCTAACCTTGTCACTTGAGGTGTTGAGTCTTCCCCTCTTGGACATTTTCAGTATCAGCAGATACATTCACCCATTGCAGAAAAATAGTTTGTACTACCGGAAAGCTATTTCTGTTTCTATTACTATTACCATTTCTGTATCACAAACTTGTTTCTATTCATTTATTTACTGCTTCCGAGCCGTTTCAATTCTGAGATTGACAAATATTTCTTTCGATAGACAAAGCTTGCTGAGTTTTTCTGAAATCGCATATAGCTGGTTGGATGAGAAATATCTACAAAATTTTGACGAGGTACAATTATAGTAAAATGTAATGTCTCCCTAAAAATTTAGGTTACAGCAAGGATCAGATGGTAAAGTGGGTGATTAAAACGAGGTTCTAATGAAGTTTTTGCTAATTTCCCGCAGGCAGGAACATTAAGAACCTGTCAACCCTCTAAACTACAAGAAAGCATTACTATAGTTGTTAAAACAGATCAGGAGTTTCTCTACCATAATATTTTGACACACGCAGGGAGAATAATGTTTCCAGGAATTAAATGCTAAAGATAGAAACAGGGTCAAAGATAGGAACCAGAGTTTTCATTTTATGTCCGGTCCCTTTGAAGTGGATAAGATGGTTATACCAAGTCCTTCCCTTTTTTTTGATAAACGATTTTTTGATGAATAAATTCGGTCCGCTTTAGGTTAGGAGTCTTATCCGGGCGATCGCTTTCAACCTTCGTTACACAATCAACCAGATTGTGTAATATGTTAGTGAACAAAAACGTCAGGACTGGAGGGTAAGTACCAACTGTGACGAAGAAATGATGTTGGAGAATAATAAGAATTAAGAAGAAGACCACAAAACCGGCAAAAGAACAAGCATGACATTGACTCATGACAAATGATTAAGGCAATGTTATTCAGACACAAGAAAGTATCGTCAACCATATTGAAATGAGAAGCGGAACTCTCCCTCATAGATCTGCTTCATCTACAAACCGAGATAAATAGATTTGAGTCCTGCACCGCGTGAGGATGAAAATAACTCCAAGCACGCAACTATGTCAGACATTGCCAACATCTACCTATGTAGAAAAAAAGGGAATGTATAGTATAATTGGAAATTCAAGTGGAGTGTCACCCATTGGAAACACCATACAAACATGCAGAGTAAAAAGCATACAAACAGCAAGGAAACTTCAGAGTCTACGCCATAATATAGACTAGCACTTGAAACCACACATACAAAATTAACGCACACTGCATGAATGTGTACACCTACGACCTCAGAGCGAGAACAATACCAAGTTTTTTACAATGGTTGGGATATATTCTGGATGAGCTGGCTCGAATAAAAGATAACATAAGATCGACTAACAAACTTGCATAATACACCTTGAACCAGAAAAACTGTAGCTGCCGCTAGACAAAGTAAAAACTGAGGTGCATATAAACCCAAGTGAAACGTATGTATACGTTACATGTGAAATCCTGAAACCTAAATCCGTAACAACAGCTGTAACATACTTCTGTATCCATAATTGATCATAGGGACTGAAAATATGTTGATAAGATGAGTAACAAACCAAGGAGTATGGACTGAAGACATAAAAAACCTGCAATATGCATCGAAATGACCATAGACCATAGACCATAGACCATAGACGAGCCCTTAAGCATTCCAAAACCTGAATGAATGAGGAAGGTATGCTTGATCCATGTACTTCTAGGTAGATTGTTAGTTTCTGCTGGCTGAGGGCGCTGGAGGTACACAGACGCTAAGAGCCGCACCTCTATTCAGCTCTATTTCGATTGGTTATTGAAAGACACCGGGAGTTTGCATACCCTAATCCTTGTTCTAGAGGATTATAAACTGATGTGGTCTAAACTCACATATCATATATGTGCATTTCCAAGTTTGGTAGTTTCAAAGTCTGACGCAGGTTGATTGTAGAAGCCTTTTCCAGACTTTCAAGAAGGATTCCAGGTCACATACTCCTTCAAAGTATTCAAAGTAAAAAAGATTGGGAGAGCTTAAACTCTTTTAAGTGAGTCAGTATATCACAAGGTAAGGTAGGTAGAACTCCGATGGACTTAGCAGGATTCCATATAAATGTGGACGTGGATAGCGTTCTCATATAGAATACGTAGCAGGGATCCATAGTAGGGATCCAAACGAGTAATGAGGGGATCGAGGTGATAGGAGGCATTTGTATCTCTAAAAAAATAGGAGGTGAGTGAAGTGAGATAGAAACCTTGCTTGTTAGAAACATAAAAAATATATAAAAAAGTAGTTCCTTATTGTATGACATGATGGACTATATAATGATGTAGTCAAATATCACATAAACGAATTAAATAGTTACGTTTAAGCCTAAGAGTGAGGTTGAGTATAAAACATTTGAACAATATAGATAACATAGTATACATCGCCATCAGTAGCTTAGAGTGGTAAAGGATCAAAGCATTCCAGAATTTCTAGTGGTGGATATCGAAGGTGCCAATGAGATAAGTCATTACAGAATAAGCACGACAACATGCGAGTGATAAAAACAGAAATGAGCCTCAATGAAAACAAGTGAATTGCATGCAACTAAAAACAAGCAACATAACCACCATGGAATATGGACACAAGCAGTCCATATATCAATGAATCTCGCTGATAAAATTTATGTCAACATGATGAAAGACCTTCGAGATAATACCCATATTTGAAATTAGGAAGGAGGTAGCGTTTGTAGATACATAGTTGCATAGATTTCTATGCAGCAACTCGTAGGTCCACAATTCCAAGCACAATCCAACAAGTAGATTCGAGGTTATTGCTGTGTCAAATTCTCCCTAGCCAAGTTCAAATTTGATTTAATTTGATTCTCTCAAATCAAAAAATAACTCCTACAGCAAGAAACTAAAAGTAGTTAGTCTCAAGCAGGAACATCAATCAGTACCAAGCAACCATTTAGCAGACATATCACTCAGAGATCGGAGGGAATCTCCATTGACACTAAATCAATTTAAAGTATAAAACACTAGAAGGAACCACTTTCGGCGCAGAACAGAACGTAAGTAAAATATACTAGGCATTAGATATTCTGTACTTGTAGTGAAGACGTTATTAGTATTATCATCATTCCTACTGAAGATAGCTATAGCTTGATGTTATTGTGAGCTACATATTCTAAAATAGCGATGCTGGAAAGGAGGGATGAGGGAAGGATTATAAAGTGGTGTGGTTTATTGTACTCGTCAGGTCCCTGTCTATTTCCAGGTGAGGATATTTATGGTTGGGTAACCTTAACCAAAATTAAGTTTGGAGATCATGGTAAAAGTAGGATGAAGTTGAGTTCGTGTGTATACAGTAAAAGTCATTACGAGACTGACACCGGAAAAACAAACGAGTTGGATCACTTTGAATAGAGATGTCATCTAACCTCGCAAGTTGGGTTTAAAAGAATTGAGATGATTATACACATTAAATTTCTTTTCCTACACATTCATTCCCATTCTCAATCAGCCTTTTTACACATTGGAAGTAAGATGTGTAAAAATCTTGTAATCAATAGGAATAAGATTTTCCAACCAACCTTGTCACATTTCGATTTCAACTTATCTTCATCAGCAGTTAAGAACGATGTTTGTATGTATATACAATACTTCGTATCAAAGATAAATTTCCAAAAGTGGATTTCTTCATTTCTTCATTTTCTTCATTTACATCAACAAATTTGATCATGATTGTTGGAGATCGAATTCCTAGATATGATATTGAAATTTATCTTAAAAAAAGGAAGTAGACGGACCATACTAAATAAATGGAAAAAATAGATCGCTCACCAGTCCTTACACGCCTCGCACTGAACCATCAAATCGTCCGGATTGTATGGCATCTCACACTTGCAATATCTGCACAGAAAACCAAAGATACATTATGTTAGATACCCTTCAAAAATTCCTACTATATATATATGTATATCTCCACCGATTTCTTACCGTAAAACCTCGAGTATGCGATGATATGTAGGAATTCATCAATTTGACGAGAACTCTTTTAACACCCAAAGCTTCGATGCAGATTTGATCCGTTAGATTACCCTTAAATTAACAAACACTTCCAAACATTTTTCTTCACTAACAGTTACATAATAACTCATCGGTACACCTACCTAGCAACTAACAACAAAAGACTAACAAGAAGAAACTAAAACATAATAGTTGGGTGAGATATATGGAGATTAACGTAGGAGAGATCATACATTCTAAAATAAGACCTTTATTGTGAGGAGAGAATATGATTATATGAGTTGGTACTGCTACGTTGAGAACGCGATACCAACGTGATTTGACTCTTAAGTCTTAAAATGACTCAAACCAAAGTGATTTGAGTCTCCATTCTAATAATAACTACAGAATAATTTTAAGTCTAGTGACGAGTCCTACGTAGTTTGAACCGTGTCTAACAATGACTGATAAATTGTACTTCGAGTAATTGAAGCTAAAGTAGCAAAGTTCACTATGTAATTTCTCCTCCGCTATCTAAAACATCTACTTCATACGTTACTTTCCGTATAACAAAAGAGCTGAATAATCATATACAAACTACTGTATCAGTGGACTAGAAGCTATGTGCTTACTGCATTATCTCTTGATCAATATGGAGTATGAGATACAACAGATTGGTAGTCAGCTATGATTCCAACAAGTATTTGAATTAGGATCGGTAAACGTGATTTTGTAAGGACATCATGATGAGAAGTCAAAACTGGACATGTAATCAATATATTGAAAAAAAATATCGCTAAATCTTGCGTTTAGCACAACATGGTAGACTGTGGGGAGAAATAGTTAGCTTCGCATCATAATAGTCTTTCATCGCAGTCTTTATCATCGCAATCAACATTAGCTTTGAATTGTAAATATACATCATATTCTATCAGAATTCAGTAAAAGAATTACTCTAGCTTTGAACTGTACGAAGAGAAAACCTACATTGATGATCACATATAGTATAAGAATCCATCATGTTTTATTAAAATTAAACATTGATGTGCTCTAGAAATCGTAAAGCTTGAAAGGAAACTGTATCTCATCATGAAAAGAACGATGGTATGTGGGATGAATACATTATAAAAAATGTTGTTTAGATAGTAAATGGTGTTAGTTTGACTAATAAAAAGTTAATCTTGTCTTCATTGCTACGTAAAGGACTACTGTCATCAAACATCCGACAGAAATATAGGTATTCAGTGAGAGTGTGAAATCATGGATGCTTGGCCCCTCTAACTAATTAGATGGTTTGGAATTAGGTTCTCTGAGATTAACAAAGAACCTAAATATGCAGTTGTTTATCAACCATGTATAGACAATAAATCATATCATGATAGATGTGATCATTCCTTGTATGATCATTAGACTATATGAGAGGTTTTCATTTACATGAAGTCTTCCCGTTTAGAACTATTTTCAAACAATTGCTTTTTCAAAACAACTGTCGACAGACAAAATTATTCACATAATATTATCCCACAAAGCTATACGATTAACATGACGTTATTTCCACATATGCTGCTCATTACTTTTTGTAAGCTGCTATCATTTTTCTAGTAGACTCGTATGAAACTCTCAAATCTTGTGGTATGAGACATTATAGAAAAGGAAGACATACAACCACATAGAAACAATTATGGTATTCACCACATCATACATCTTCTAACCTCAAGTTCAAACAGATAATCTCTGCATTACAATCCTGGTTTTGAAAAGATGAACAAACTTACAGCACAAATAGACTACCATCCTCGAGATATTTTGCATCAACAGAATTGAGCGACGAAGGATAAAAGAATGATATGGATCACACCAGAAGTAAACAAGGGAAAGTGAAGTAGACTTACACAGCCACCCTGTCAGGTGTAAAACCTCCCGTGGAAGCCTTATATTCAAACCGGCAGAAGTAATCGTCAGTACCCACGCTTTCCAACTTGGTGTAATTCTTAAAAGTGTGCACTATACACTTCCCTTCGATAGTATCGGCACTCTGGATATCATAATGATCCGAGAGAAACAACTCCTTTGCACCATGAAATTGACGACGACCGCCCATTGACTCTTCGGGACGATAATACCAACGAACCCTCACTTTCACATTACTCCGACTATCGGATTCAATTTTCTCAATCTTTGCGACATAAGGGGGTTTATCTGAATCTTGCGCACGCATCAATACACAATCACCCGCTGCATTCAACAAGAGCCAAATGTTACCACTCGTTTAGATTTCTGTTGCATCATGGGTTCACTTTCACTTCAATAGCCACAGGAGAGAAAGATATGAGTAGACTAAAATCGCCGCACGACAGGACCGGATGAGGTGTACCCCAACTAAGTCCACTGTATTCTCTATGTCACTTGGCCAGGACAGCAGATAAACCTGTTATAACATCAACATAAACTTGCGTAGAATGTACTCCATCCACTATCTTCTTACCGATTCATTCATATTGGGCTAGAAGTTGGCAAATCTAGCTAAGATGGAAAGTGATCCCAGCGAAAAACACAAAAAATGAGTTGAGCATAATCTTTCATTTAAATTCCAAAAAAAATATTTCGGCTGATATTACACATATCCAAGCGACTGAACAGTTTTCTTTCTTCCCATATGAGACAAGACTGTCCGTCAATCGACGTAACTCTCGGATAAGCTTTAGCTTCTACGTGCAAAACTGACTTCTTTGAGTTTGAACGCTGACGGTCAAGCGTTCCTTACCTTTTACAATCTTGTGGGTACCCTTCACAGTATACGAATCCAGAACTTTCTTTGCGTTCTTCGATTTCGCCATTTCCACGCCGTAATAATTTTAAAGAACTTATAATCTGCTAGCTCAGTCGCCGGTCTGATTAAACCCAGGCCGGTAGAGTTAGACTTCAGCATGTGCAAAATCGCAAGAACTCTCTTAATAAAGGATATAAGAAACTGCAATTATCAGCCGGCTTATAACTTCTAAGTTTCCCCATATCTCTGTATCTAAGCTCGGGTTCCTTGCAGTGAAGAAGTATAGCACAGCAAGTGTGCAAGATTTCGTTTAGATGACTCTTACCCTCGCGGCTCCAGGTGATACTACGCCTTCGAGTCACGACTTTTGAAATCAACTCCAGCTTCGCTACTGAGCTGTGCACATCTACTCTGCCGCCCAACGACGCAGCTGTTCTTTGTTCTAAAGGCGAAACCTACATAAAGACTCATAATTTATTGCGGGAAGTACCTAAACCCTCGCTCACTTCCTTAGGCCAGCTCTCTCGCACGCTCCTGCCTCTCCCCAAATCTCACTCTGAAATACCCTGACAAGTCTTCCGCCTCCTCTTTCAGCTCCAAGGATGTTCATGTTCCCGACATGGAATTTCCCCCACATTAATCCCGATACACCGCGACCTCGAACACCTGTGCTGCACGAAACTCGAGCTCGTGGAGCTTCTTCGGAAAAGATTCCCCCGATCGAGGACTCCACTCCTCGTCCGAAATTTCCCCCACTCAGTTACGACCACCTGCAAGTTCCTCCATCAGATGTCAACCCTCGACTGCTCCCCTCGCCTCACAACCCTTCCGTCTGCGCCTCTTACTGCCTGTCAATCCTCCGTATTCCCTCGACATTTTAACTCATTCTTTCTTGGCGATGGCGGGCTTTCGTCTCTGCTCTCATTACCTCCCTTAGAAGTTTCTGACCCTGCGCCGGACAACTAGCACCAGCAGGCATGGCTGCACGGACAAGACGACCTCCACTGCCTCACTCCTCCTGGGCGTCATTCCCCCTCTCTCCCTTCGTAAATTCTCTTCCTCCTTCCCCCCTCCCCCTGCCCTCCCTCCGTCGCTACGCTCTCGGACATGCAGCCCCAGCCCCAGCCCCCGACCCCGTCCAGTCCATAGCCAGGGAGCGCAGCGCAGCGAATCGCATATGCTATTTTCTCCTTTTCCCCAATTACTCCTTGACCTCGACTTTTCTTCGCTAATCACTCTGCAACAGGCACTCTCCCCCCCACAGTAAGTACACCGGGCGCGGCAACGGGTGGAGAGCAGAATTTGAAGTGCGCCCCCGTCCCCCCTTGACCGGCAACGACAACGCTGCGGTAACTGTGACGAAGATTTAATACGAGCATCTTCACTGCCACCTGTCCACTGTTGTGCTCTCCATGGAATATGAGTCTCGTTTGAATTGTGGAAGTTGGATTCTTCTAAGTTTCCCCTTTGCTCCAAGTTATTTGCTTCTCAAAGAATAAATTGCACACACTGAATGTCAATGCAGCATAAAGAGTAACATGTATAAACCCTAACCTGATTTCCAGCTGAATAACGGACTTATATTAGTTCGGTGGTGCACCGATATCACGGATAAACTTTACACCCACCGTGATATCGGTGGGTGTAAAGTGTATATAAACATCATGATTTATGTTTGTTCACCACATTGCTCGATAGTGACTAGGTTGAATGTGTGTAAGGGACATTATTTCCGAGTATATTGTACTAACGAGATCTTTTCAGTTGTACAAGGATGGCTTTGAACTATTTCTTAAACTATGGTCGCACTTACTCCAAACGTTATCAACCCGATGATAAAACCATTCGATAAACTTGACGATGATAACTGATTGTTTGGCATTACTTTTGCAGTTTATCTTGACATATTATTTCTTGTAATTTATTGCAATATGTTTACTCTGTTATTATTATATGTTGAGACTTGTTAGTGAAAGTTCTGGATATTATACGATTGAATGGTGTACACCAACAAGTGTTCTTATTCATTGAATGGTACAATCATCACATAGACCATTATGACAACTTCTTTTCATGGATATGGTGAATTCTAGGGATGCATCTGCTATTATAGTGATGTAAAATTGGATGATATTACTCTTTCACCGTAGTATATTGTTTTTTAATCATTTGATTGGTACATTTTTTTTATGTATTTCAGATGCATTGCAGAGTGAAAGAATGTAATGCGAAAAATCTTTATAATTATTGCATTCCACATCATATATTCGGATGTTGAATAATATTGAGAAGAAGATAATCAATCCATTTTGACTTTCCTCCATAATCCTAATGTATGAATGAAGATAAATTTCATGTGAATATCCTTCTTTCAAATTTTATCAAGTATCTTAAAAGAATGTGTCATTTATATGTTCACTTATCATACATTACAACTATGAGTAAATATAAGATTGTTGATAAAAAGTTAAACTTATAAATGCCTGTAAGAACATAATATGCATGCAATATAAAAATTTATTGTTCATTAACGCATGCAGCATATAAAAGATTTACTCCTATATTTTAAAAGGAATTTCAAAAAGTTATCAATTACATCATTCTAAGGACACAAAGTAAGACACTTTTAATTTTAAAACTAAAATTGTCTTCAGCAACAACGCAGCTGATTACTTGTATTTCAAATTTAAAAATTTCTCAAAAATCAGTAATATTCCTCTTCAAAACTTCAAAAGTGAAAACTTTTGAAATCAACAATCAATTTGATCAATTATGCGCACACAATACAATTGGGTTAAATATCTCATAAATAAAATTAAATAAGAATATTCAGAAGTAAAAATGTAAATTCCAATTATATAAAATTTAATTTAATTTATAAATGAAATATTTTAGATCACACACATATTTATTTCAATCTAGGAAATTTAATAATAAAATCAATGCTTGCACAATATCTTGAAATTTAATCAAATTTTGTATACATAGAATTTAATCTTGTAATTCAAATTAGTTGGGTTTTACAATTAAATCTTAAGTATGTGCCTAATTGAAAATTCAAAATTTTTTTAATTATCAATATTGATATGATTATAATTTTAAACAATTTTATAAATGATTGATTTTCAAATGTAATTTCATACATTTTACTTCAAGACTCATCGGTTGGTTTCAAACGTGCATTACACACTGCTTTACATCATTATAACCAATCTCATGCAAATAAAAAAGATGAAAATAATTTTTGCAAATCATTAATTACATAATTCTCAAATCATTGTATTTTTAGCATATATACTGATATATTTCACTTAAAAGTCTAAAATATTGATAAATGTATAATAATATTTTCTTCTCATGCTGAATGATTTTCTTAATTTTAATTTTAATTAATGGAATTGATTATATGCATTGGATGTTTTATTTTAACTAGACTTATGTATTATTGTAATGACAGATAAATACCAAAATGGAGCATAATGGTACAGATCCGATCCCACGAGGACAGAAACAACCACAAAAGTCACGATTTGTCACTTATTAACATTCTATTGATGAGTTTTACTTCTTAGGCCGGTGTCACTCCCAGAAGACCCTACCCCGCTACGGCTGAAGACTTGCAGAGTAGAGTATAATCACACTCACAACCTGAAACTTTTCCAATCGACGCCTATGGGAATCGCCTGTGACCCCACACTTAGATTTCAGGGGGAAAACTTCCCAGCATTGCATACATCCCGACTTACTGACCCGAAACCCAGACCCGAATTTGCTTAAATCCCAAAGAGTCCCTGGCTAATCAAATTATTCAGGCTCGACACTCACAACTCCCGATGCGGTAATTTCGTCAAACAGGAGCGCACCGTGCTCGATGTCTAGATCACACACCGGCACACGGACACACAGTGGATACATGTTTACAGTCAAGACAAGCCAATTGATAGAAAAGGCCCCCCAAGGAAAGAGCATTGGGTCTCTTTACTCACAATGGCAACTCTGGAATCTCAACCGCCTGAGGCAAGCTACTCTTAGGTGTGGTGCCGTCCGATGTAGCAATTACGGCGTCGTATGAACTTACATATGCTCCTAGCCTACGCAAAACGTTTACAATCTCTATCTCTACATTTTGTCGCGCCTCATCTAATCCCTAAGAAAATGTCTTAACTATCTCTACAATCTGCTTCCGCGGATCTGCTGGCCTAAGTACTCATCAACCGTCGCTCTAGCGAATCTAACTTCAGCCACTTCATCGATTGCAATCCCCACATTGCGAATCCACGCAGGCACTTCTCTACACATAATTTCAACTCGTCGGTCGTCTCATCTCGCAGATGACGGTAGGTCTTCTCTGTTTTCGCCATTCTCCTTCGCGACTCTTCCGATCTCATGGACATCTTCCCTAATTGCTCTTGTAACCGTCAACGTTCCAATTTGACCTTTACATTCGACCGCCGAAGATCTGGCCAATTCACAATTTGCCAATTTCTTGGCCCAATTCGTCAACTCCTCTTCGTGCTTCTGGATTCCCTCCGACAGACTCGCCGATACCTCCTCCGCGCGTTGGAATTCCTTGTCACACTTACTTGCAATCTCCGCAATCGTACTGCGAAGTTCCTCTTCCGCCGTCTTTGACTTAGCAATCTTCCCTTGAAGTTCTTCGAAGATCTGAACTTCTTCGACTATTCGGGCTTCGGCTTTAGCGAGCGGCTCAGCATGTATTTTCTCCCGCCTCTCGGTAGTTGTGATCAGTTGATCCAAACGTCGGACTACCACCTCGTACGCCTCCTTAAATTTCTCCAATCTCTCGAGCAGGTCCACTATCATCTTCTGCGCATTCTCGTTAGAGACACAAAGTCCGCTGCAAGTTTCCTCTAGCTCGACACATTGCCCGGATTCCTTCGCCAGGCTCAACTGCAGTAGTTCGCACTCCATCTCCTTCGCTTGAAGTTGGTCCTCTCTCTCCTGCAATGTTGCCTTCGCCTCTACGCACTCATCAGCCAAGCTTGCCGCGCGTTCCTTAGCCATTGCCATTGCGGAATCCCACTCCCTCTTCACTGCTACTGCACTCTTGAGCTTCGTCCTATTCCTAATCAGCTCAACATAGGATCCGTACTCCTTCCTCACAATATACTTTTCCCTCTTCGTGTCTAGGTACTTTAGTAAAGGTACTACGTTATCATGCAAGAAGTTCGGGAAGGTAATTTCCAATGGCTTCACCTATTGGCCCGAAGTCTTCGTCTTAATCTCAGATCTTACTTCCTCCTCTGGTGGTGGCGGCCCTGGTTCTTTTGCAAGATTCCTTTAACACTAGGGTTTAGAGAGAAGCTCACTCGAAGATAGAAACGTAAACTCTGAAGATGAGAGATACCAACAATGGTTCTACTCTCCCTTATATAGCTCTCACCAACAAGTACAAGGAGATAAGATCTAATCCCCACCATCCATCCCATTCCTAGTGGATATATGATGTGGCGGATAACCCTAACAAGCACACGGATAGTTGACGTGGCGCACCGAACTAACACACTCAATCCTTACCTACAAGCACACGGATTGCTGACGTGGCACTGTCAACTAACACATACACTGTGTACCTACCAAGTGCGCGGATCGCTGACGTGGCAGCTATGACTAGTGTACACTAAAGTATCTAGATCAATATTTAGAGTAACCACTACTTTAGTTCTAACTAACTAAAGATGGTTACAAACCTCCCTACTTTTAAGATGCAACGTCATCGTTGCACATACGTTCAAACTCCTGAACTATCAAAGGTGCATTTGCTAAATTTTTAGCTCGTTCCCAAGTTGATTCATACGATGGATAGCCTTTTTATTGAATCAAATACTCTACTTTGGGATATTTATGACCTCAATACGTTTCTTGAGTATCTTTTCTACCTCAAACTCTTCATGATATGTTATCAAGGTTGGAAGAGGAGGTGGTGCTGGTTGGTTGGTGAATTGTTTTGGTCGTGGTACATGTTTTCGCAAT